CCCTACACTCTATAGAATGTACACTAAGTAGTCCACTCAGTATTGAACAGTAAATTGGGACTTTGGACACTTATTAATCATCGTCATTTTGCATCAACAGCTGTTGAACCACGCCATGGTAAAACGCAGTGTGGTGCATTGTGGGATTGTTAGCAGAAAATAGTGAATATGGCAATTTTAGAGTGCACTATATAGTGGATAGATTTACACACTCAGCATTCGGACGCAGCTACAACAAGGCGAACACACTATATGGTGCACTATGTAGTGTGTAGGGAGTGATTTTGGGCACAGCCTGTGTGTTAAGTAGTACTTTTATCTTAGCTTATGGGAGTTCAAACATTTTTATCATCTCTAGTGGCTCCTCTCATAAGTCAGGATACCATATCTGCATGTTGAAACTCGCATTTTGAGTCACTCATTTCACAGTTAATAATTAAATGAGTTTATATCAAACTTCTGAGTTTGGACTCATTTCCAAGGTTTGCAGCTGTGGAAAATGGAAAAAATGGAAAACTAAGAAAGTTACTGCTTGATCTGTGAATTGAGCTAAGTTTGGGTGTGTTGAGCAAACAGTCGGAATACCTCAAATGAAACTATCCCTTCAGTCTTTCTGGACATTACAGATAATTTGTATATCACCATATTGCCTGATTTAGATTTGGCTCCTTCCTCCACATACAGGTATTCCATGGTGATAGCTATGGGCTATCTGACAGCGTGCCAAGTGAGTCGAGTCTTCATCTTTAACTATGGAATACTGTCCACTGACTTCTCTGGGTAAGGAAAGACTTGATCACGATTGCCTCATCTCTTTTCCTCTGTCTGTACCACACCCATTTGTTGACCCATGTTACTCATTTCAGTTCTAGAGCAGTTTTTATGTTATCAGTTAACATTTCCAAGCTGTGTGATGCCTGCTTACACAGGGCCTTGTGTAAATACAACAGCACTGATTAAAAAGCAGCAGTGTGGATTGTCCAGCCCAGGTAGAGTGAAGGCACTGGCTGCCTCCTGGCAACTGTAATTTGGTTGTTAGAAGCAAGACTGCATTTAAATAAGCAGGAAGTTTACTTTTTTGTCTGTTTGCCTTTATTTGGAGGGTTTCTCTTCATTACAACATTACACATCCTCCTCCTGACTACTACAAGGATTATAAAGAACTGTTCAAAGTAGGTGTGTGTTATATAATGGCTATGATAATGGCTTAATCGATGTTTTAACGATGCCCCAGTTGGCATTATCGAGCTTACCACTCACTTTTAAAACGATCAAATACATGGCGTTAGCGTCCACTTGTTCCCTGCATCGTGTAGCCTAGCTGAATAGACTCCTGCCTGTGCGCATGGAGAGTGCATGCATCATGTACATGATCACCTCACCACAAGTTGGATAGCATGGCTGCTTAAAACTGCATTAGCAACGTTAAAGAAGAATGAACATAGACCGATCAGCCATAACATTATGACCACTGGCAGGTGAATAACACTGGCTATTTGTTACAGTGGCACCTGTCAGTGTGTGGGGTATATGAGGCAGCAAGTGAACATTCAGTCCTCAAAGTTGATGTAATGGAAGCAGGAGAAATGGGGAAGTGTCAGGATCTGAGTGACTTTGACACGGACCAGACTGTGATGGTGAGATGACTGGGTCAGAGCATCTCCCACACTGCAGGCCTTGGTGGGTGTTGTTGGTCTGTAGTGGTTAGTACCTACCAACAGTGTCTAAGGAAGGGCAGATGGTGAACTGGTGACAGGGTCATGGACGCCCACAGCCCACTGATGATTAGGTTGACATTTGTACAGTGGGCAGAGCAGTCGTCTCCCAAACAGAAGGTCGAAGGTTCAAATCTCAGTCCCTGCAGTTCACATGTCAAAGTGTCCTTGGGCAAGACACCGAGCCTCCAAGTTGCTCCTGATCTGCGGCACCAACTCAACCAGTGGCTGTTTAATACTTTGTCACCTTTATGTAACTTTTTTTATTTTAAGACTGTGGCTTGGCCAAATAAAGGTGATTATTCTTTTCCAAAGATTAAAATGGATTTGAATCTTTGTTAAAATGGTTGAAAATGATAAATACTGTACATTGGTCTCTATGAAGATAGTCAGTGGCTGTAGTGGTGAGGCCTTTGAATCAGTCTAAAAAATTCTCTGCAACTCATCCTCACGACCACAGCTTTCACTCCTTTTACATTAGTTTTCACTGAATTGTAGACACATCTGTGCTCTTCCTGACAGTAGAACTGTGGAAGAAAATGGATTCACAGAAGATGCACAGTGAGCTGCAGAGTGACACGAGTGCCAACCAACTGCCACATTGACTCCTATGTAAACAGTATTAAGCAGGTTTTCATAATGTTATGCCTGAGTGGTGTATAGCAACAGGAGACAAAATTAGGACAAAAACACACTTGGCAAACTTTAGTGGAATCATTCTACAAAAGTGAAATCAATGTTTGTGAGTTTTTTCACAAAGTGTTTATTAAATACTTATGTATGTGTTTGCTGTCCTGCTGACCACTGCACTGCACTTGGCTGTTGTCCTCCTCTTTCTGACCATCTCTTGGTCGAAGTCTGGAAATATTCCAAACAAATTAAATGGATCGCTAATCACACTGGTCTGACTGTTCAGCTTTCCCACCTTTGTTTCCCTGGGTTCATAATGTTGACTCTTTTTTTTTTTCTTTTGCTAACGTCTTTGGTCCACACTGTCTGTGCCTGCAGAGGACGTGTCCTCTGAGTCTTGGAAAATATTTTTCAGTGTTCCTCTGGAATGAAGAAGCAATCATTCAGAGTCAGAGTTTAAGATTTGTGTTAAGTTTATCCACTAGCGTCACAAATAAATGTTTGTTGTTTACATTTATCATTGGTAAGCAACAATTACTATGCTATTAAGAAGAGCGACCTTGTACTATACAAGACTTAAACCTGTTTTTTGGAGGATGCAAAATATTGTCTGCTTGTCATTATCGCCTAAATCCCCCCCAAAATACCCAACTGTCTTCTTATTTTATTTATTTATTTTTTTATAGGGTCAATATTACATACCCCTAGTTCAAAGCAGAACTTAACACATTGGGAGGGATTTGCTATAACAGAAAATGTACAGTTACTCATCAGTCATCATTTCATCATCAAAAATGAAACCATCTTGAAGTCAGAACACTTCCCACAGACATTAGCTACAAAGCTGCAGTACTCTCACAGTGATGACACAGTTGCATGCTGGTTACCTCATTGTAGGACATATCTGATATACTGTAGAAAACATGGCCTCGTGGGAACTAAACGCAGAGCTGCCGATACACATGCTTTGTCTAAGATAATTTCTGCGATGGTACCAGTGGTTTTACTAGAAATGTTCTTGCCAGAATAAGTGAGTGTAGTTGATTTTACTGCTGTCTGTATTCAGCAACTTATTTGCCCAGTTCTGCTGTCAAGAAATTTGCTGGCAGTGTCACTTGGCCTCCGCGTGACTTTGGTGCTGAGCAGTCAGTTCTGTGAGTCGGCCTTTGGTTGGGTCATATATCAAATTAGAGATCCAGTTTCCTTAAGCCTTCACACTGGACAGATGGCTGTCAATCACAGCTACAGTGTTTGTATGTGTAACTGCTTTACACACTCCTGCCGGATAGGATGAAATAATTGACTCACTTTATTCCTGGCATTAAGAGCTGTCTTTTATGTTGGTTTCTACTTTTGTGTTCTTCTAAATTTGTGTAACAGAATGTTGGTTTCTACTTTTGTGTTCTTCTGGATATCACCCCGGTCTTTTGTGTTGGTTTCCCTGTACGAGGATGTCAAACACAGCTGTAGTAGCACTAGTGTATGTATGCTGTTCTACTGTTTGTCTATGAGCATTTCCATTAGCAGATTTTTTTTTTTCTGAATTTGTGTAACAGGTGGCACTGCCAGCCGCACGTCTGGCCCCTATCTGCTTCTGTTTTTCAGGCTGTGGACACAATGCAGTCCACTCACACACAGAAACCAGCATGTGAGTGTGTGTGTGTGAGAGTGTGAGAGAGAGAGAGGGAGATGTTTGTGCACACACACACACACACACACATTCTTCAGACAGAGAGGTTTTTATCTGTGAATGAAACTAGGAGAGGAGGAACCAGCATGTGTGTGTGTGTGTGTGTGAGAGAGAGATAGATGTGTTTGTGCACACACACAGATTCTTCAGACAGGTCTCTATCTGTGAATGAAACTAGGAGACGGGGTGTGAAACTATTCTGTCCAGATTTACTGTACAGGATCCTAATGCCCTTCATTGTCACCTCACCTCAGGCACTTTTTGGCGTCCTTAAATGGTTATTTACTGAAACATCTGAAAACTAAAGCGTAAATGTGCGACTTACATTATTGCACACATACTGCTTTGTATGTTTGTCTGTTCACTTCCTACTCTGTCGCCACTGTAATGCTGTATATTGTATTGTTCTGAATAATAGAGTCTGAAAGTACAAACTATTACATTTTTCTGTTTATTACATTGCAAGTAAGTGTTCAGTAGCCCACTGTTCCTTGGATAAAATTATCTTATTACTGTGGGACTCTTGTATCAGTTTTAGGATATCCTTTGTAATGTTTCAAGTGTACTGAAAATGTCAGGGTTTGAATGAATTGCGGTGGAATACAATGTGATCTCCCACAGTCCAAAGATATGTGGGCGACTCTAAATTGCTCATAGGTGTGAATGTGAGTGTGATTGGTTGTCTCTGTTTGTGTCAACCCTGGGAAGACTGGCAAACAGTCCAGGGTGTAGCCTCTTGCTGAGGATTTGGCTTGTGAGCTCAATTAACACTCCTGGGAAAGAATTTCATGACGCACAGATGAAAAGCTCATGAAACCTTATGTAAACTCATGTGGAGACACAGAAGGCGTTGGCTTTGGGTTTGCGCTGCGGTTTAATAATATTTATCTAAGAAGTTCTCCCTTCCAGTTTTGCTGATCAAACAAACATGCTGATTTATGAGCTGTCATATGAACTTAGCAACAAAAGTCATCTCAGGACACTTTACAAAGTAAGGTCTAGACCTTACTGTTATTATTATGATGATGATGATGATAATGGAGGGAAAACCCAGCAAATCCCCCTTGAGCAAGCACTTGGCGACAGTGAGGAGGAAAAACTCCCTTTAATGGAAGAAACCTCCGACAGACCCCGGCTCTTGGTGGGCGGCCTTCTGCCTCGACCGGTTGGGGTGAGTGGATAGAGGAGAGACAAAAGAAGAAAAGCAACAAGACACAACAACCAATCAAACACTGGTCAGGTCAATGTGGCTGGTGACTGCTCATCAGAGACGTAGAGCTCCAGGGCCAGGGCAACCTGCAGAAAGGTACAGGGAGAGAGAGAGGACACAAAGTTAGTTATGTGTAATGGTGGCATATAGAAGCATAGGGAGAGAGAGAGGAGAGAAGAGCAGAGCAGGAGGGGAGGGGAAAGAAACTCAGAGCATCATGGGGCCCCCCAGCAGCCTAGGCCTATAGCAGCATAACTAAGGGAAGGCTCAGGGTCACCTGATCCAGCCCTAACTATAAGCTTTATCAAAAAGGAACGTCTTAAGTCTAATCTTAAAGGTAGAGAGGGTGTCCGCCTCCCAAACTGAGACTGGGAGTTGGTTCCATAGGAGAGGAGCTTGATAGCTAAAGGCTCTGCCTCCCATTCTACTTCTGTGGACTCTAGGAACCACAAGTAAACCTGCACTCTGAGAGCGAACTGCTCTGTTAGGATGATAAGGCTCTACGAGGTCTTTAAGATACGATGGAGCCTTGTCATTAAGGGCTTTGTATGTTAGGAGAAGGATTTTAAATTCTATTCTGAATTTTACAGGGAGCCAGTGGAGAGAAGCTAATATGGGAGAGATATGATCTCTCTTGCTAGTTCCTGTCAGTACTCTGGCTGCAGCATTTTGGATTAACTGGAGGCTTTTTAGGGAATTATTGGGACATCCTGATAGTAAAGAGTTACAGTAGTCCAGCCTGGAAGTAACAAATGCATGGACCAGGTTTTCAGCATCAC